CCCTGTCCGGAGAGGAAATGCGAAGAGCTGGTCTACTCACCAGCTCTTCATTCTGCCACAGTCATCGGCTCTGCTGTCTTCAGCTCACCATTTCTTCCCCAGAACAATTGTGTGTGGAAATGCAAACAAAATTTATCCTCTGTGCTAGAATATTAACTGTTTTGTCCTATTTGCAATTTGTAAAAGGGAGAAAAAAGAACTCTGAATATCCCTAATGTTGGAATTAGTCAAACTACCCAGAAGAGAGTAGTATCTATATTAAAATTTATTTACTCCACATTAAAATTTATTTACTTCACATATAAAGTTTAATAATGTATCTGTATTGAAATTTGTTTACTCCCATATAATAAAGTTTAATAATGCCAGAAGAATGGCAGGGTGAGTTTCTTACATTTTTCATGCTAGAAGGGGAAAAAAAGAAACTGAGAAAAAAACAAAAACCTAACCTTAACCTCTTCTTAACAGGAAAAAACAAATGTACAACTTCGTTCAGAACATGAGTTCTGTCCATCTAATAATTTCCTGCTCAATTACTCACTCACTAAGCCACATATGGCATATTAGTTATATAATAAGGTTTTTGAAGAGTGATGTCTTAATAACTGTTGAATGAATAAACAAGTCATTAAAGATGAACTACCTCCAAATAAATTACAAAAGATACGGCGCTACAGAGTACCTGGTCTCCAGAAACTAGAATTAACAGTCCCAAAATCTGCTTTTCATATCAAATGTAGCATAATATGACACAAGAGCAACAACATTGGAATAATCACATTTGCTTAAAATGAAGGAGATAAACTACAATTAAAACTATTTGTTCAATAATTATGTAGGGTAAATTATATATCTACCCTGAAATAATGCCTGTGTCATGAGAGAAAGGGAATATTGGCATTGCAGTAGTCAGCAATACTACACTCAGTGAATTCTCAGGGTGCATCTTGTCACCTCAAAAAAGGCTGTGAAACTCTCATGAGATTGACTAGTGTTATGAGATTTGGGTTTTCTTTTGAGATTTCTGTTTCACCTCCTCCTTTCCACCTCCTCCTCCTGATAATACAATGGCACTTGAATAAGGATGATTAACCTCCATTGTAAGTTACAACAGGGAAGCTCACTCTGCATTCTTGACCAGTATGAAATTCCAGGAATTGCCTCTTTTACTGAGGCTTTTGTGTGTGTGAAAGATAAAGCATATTGTAGTACAGATGTATTACATAATAAATTTATTATATTTATTTATAAATACTATAACATAAATAATCAATGTATAAATATGCAGTGACAACATAGTTCACGCAGGGATATTCCTAAAGCAGACAGCATAACAGCCAAGCCTGAATAACACTTCTGAATCTGTTATAATTTCTACTAAAAATTCTCAGCTATTGGCATCTGACCTAACTCAATATGCAAGCTTTCTTCTCTGGCCGCCTTTTTTACTTGTAGCCGCTACCAGATTATACCAGTTTGGTGTACTGGTTAAGGCACCAGGCTAGAAAGTGGGAGACTGGGAGTTCTAGTCCCGCCTTAGGCACAAAGCCAGCTGGGTGACCTTGGGCCAGTCGCTCTCTCAGCCCTAGGAAGGAGGAAAGGGCAAACCACTTCTGAAAACTTTGCCAAGAAAACTGCAGGGACTGTCCAGGCAGTTGCCAGGAATCAACTCAAAGGAAGAAAGGAAGGAAGGAAGGAAGGAAGGAAGGAAGGAAGGAAGGAAGGAAGGAAGGAAGGAAGGAAGGAAGGAAGGAAGGAAGGAAGATGAAATATGTAGGCTGAAATCAAAGTAAGGGAATGCTGGAAGGAGTATTTTAGAAATTTGTATATAAATGACAATGTTATTTCAAAGAATGGCACTGAAATGAATTCTATAAGCAACAGTGTCCAAAGGAAAAATTTATGAAGTCAATGCTGTAAGGGCGTTGAAAAATAGTAAGCCTGCAAATGTAGATGGTATAAATATAGATATGTTAAAATATGAAAGTGATTTACTTATGGAATGGGTGTGGGATATTTTTTAACATGTGTGAAAACTACATCTGTACCTCACATCTGGAAGAATGCTGTTATTGTTCCCCTGTACAAAGGGAAAGATATTAAGAGGGAATGCAAAAAGAATAGAAGGGTTTGTTTGTTATGTATGCCTGGGAAAAGGTTTGCTCAGATCCTAATTGAAAGAGTATGAGAGATGACAGTGAGAACAATTTGGGAAGTATACTTTGGTTTCATATCACATATGGGCTGTGCAGATCAAATTTTTGCTCTTTGAGAAATGTATGGATATGAAAAAGGAATTTTATTGTACATTTGTTGATTCAGAGAAAGTGCATGGTAGGCTTGAATTATGGAATGTTTTGAACAAACAGGGAGTTGAAAGTTTGTAGTTGAATGCATTAAGAACAATATATGATGAAATAAAGCACACGTGAGAATAAATGGAATGGTTAGTTAATAGTTCAGCACCGAACTGGGAATGTGACATCACATTGATTATTTAATATATTTATGGATAAATATACAAAGGAATGATTGTAGCAACATTTAAGGTGTGCTGTTGGGATATGTGTGCATTTTTGTATGTCTTGGTACTATTGTTGGCTCAGAACCAGGATGATTTGCAGGAAATGTTAGATTGTGTGATGGAATGAAAAGTATGGGTCTGAAAATGAATGTATCAAAGACAAAGGTAGTTGTGTTTGACAGAGAAAATGGAGTGAACAAATGCAGGTTATTCATAAATTGCAAAAAAGTAGAGCAAGTAGATGAATTTGTATACCTTGGTAGAATATTTACGAAAGATTGGAAAATGGATGGAGCAGTTTTATGATGCGCAAATGCTGGTAAAGACATAATGGGCAGTGTGTGGTCTATGTGAGGAATGAACGTTTGACAAAAGAAATGAAAATGGCTATGTACAAGAGTGTGCTTCTGCCTATTTTGTTACATGGAAGTGAGAATTGTTTGTCAGGAGAAACATAAAATAAGTTGAATGCAGTAGGTGATAAAACTAGAAGAAATAGAATCAAGAATGAATGGGTGCTCAATGAATATGGATTGAACAAAAAACTGAGGGATCAATATGGAAAAAATTGTTGAAGGCTTTTGGTTGTGTAAAGAGAGTGTAGGAGGATGACATCACAAAACAAATATGTAAAGGAAAAGTAAATGGGTTGAGAGAAGGGGGAGGACTAAGAAAGTCATGGTTGGATGGAGTTAATGAGAGTCTTAAAAAGAAAGTGAGAAGTTTAAGAATAAAAGTTAATGTATGAAACAGTGTGTAGATACGGTAGGAGCAGGAATAGTTTATAAGCATAGAAAGATATGGAGAGGTATAGAGAAATTGTATTCATGTAAACCAGATTTAGCTGTCTTTCCTTTTCTCTTATCTTATGGCTTTAATTTCTTTTGCTCACTCTTTCTTTTCTTCAGCATTTTGCCTAACACTGCTTTCCCCAAAGGAAATAGCGAATTTCACATAAAAGTTCAAGGCATAATATATAGCAAGCAAGATTGCTGACAGGCATTGCCTTTGTTAAGCTGGTATGCTGTATCTCATTTTTAATGTTTTTATTTCATCATGTGATGGTGATATAGAGCACAAAAGCAGAAATGAGAGAAACTACTACAAATTCATGAGACATTTGCATAGCAAAGAATTATTTAGCAAACAAAAACTATTAAATTTAACTGGCTGATATCTCAAAAAGCCTTTTGTGTATGCTCATCGAAAAGGCATTGTTGTTCAAACACAGTCCCAACACGTTTATCTTCATACTGATATTGGTAGCCTGGCTAGGTGTCAGCATCTGTGTCACCTTGGCTGATGTTTTAAAAAAAATCTAAGCAAGGTTTGACCTGATTAGTATCTGAATAGAAAATCCTCAGGAAATACCAGGTTTTTGAACTATTGGAGGTAAAAGGAGAAAAGAAACCCTCCAGATGAAGAGACAGCAAATCATTTCCATATTATTGCTAAGAAAACTGCATGACATGTCCAATGAGTCAAACTCATTTGAAATGAGATATTCCATTGATCTTATTGTATTGGTTATTCTGGGGATTGCAATTGGCAGCTTATGAACTTAATTCAGCCTGCAGAACAATGTTATCTTATGAAGCACCACTAAATTTTAGCCAAGTTATGGTTTGAAAAAGCTTTCTCAAGGTAAAAAAAGAACTTCCATACTTAATTAACATTGTTTTAAAATGTGACATATATAGGTATTCTATATTTTAACGATATCTGGCTGAATGGCTGATAAAATGCACTGGCTGTGCTCTGAGGACATCAGGATATATACTATACCTCATAACTGGGCTTTCGTAGATACTCATGGGTGTCTACAAGGGAGCAATTGACATCATGCACACCATGGCATCATTGTGCAAATGACATACTATACATCATCCCTGCCATGACATTATGATGGGACTGATGCATATAACATCATTGTGGCTTCTACTGGAAGCCTAGGCAGCTAATTAACATATTCAAATCTTGGTTGATTTTCTATCTTATGAGATACCTTCAGGATTTACTATACATTTAATCCATTGTTAGAAAAACATAATCCATTTTATTATCACCTTATATGTGATATCTAAATCAACCAATATCCAATTCAGTTCAAATATGTAACTTGATTCAAAGAACCAAGCTGACTCAAATTTACATTTGGATAAAGGCATGTGCACACATGCAGAAGTCCATCAAATTTTTTATTTGAACACCCCTGATTCAACTTGACATATCCAATCTATTCAATGATTTCGTTCAAAGATTAAATTTGAATTAGAGTTGCACTGAAGCTTCACATAGGCATAGCATGTCAATCCCTACCCTTCTCCCCTAAAAGTTACAAACACGTATTTTGCTTTGGAATACATCAGGAAATGTAAAAACTGGACAAAAGCATAATAAGTCAAAATAGATTCTGATTTTGGAATGTTGATACAGAGAGACTGAATGCAGAAATCTAGAGCAAATTTGGTCTGAATGAATATCTCCAGAATAGTTCTTGTTTCTCACCCAATAACATACACATATTGGTGGACAGTAAGAATTACATTTCCTTTATTGGGAAAAAATACCTCCTTCACTGGCCATGAACTCTTAGAACTGTCCTTTCTACTGCAGCCCAGCAAATGTAGCGTTCTGCATCATCCAGCTAGAACGCAGAAATCTGGATGTTCACAATTTGTGAACCAGGAAAATCAACCTTGCTCAGCGCTAGCTTGATTGCATCCATCAAATGGTCAACGATTCACATTTGGGAGCTGATTCATTCCAAGTTTCCGGCCTTGAATACTTGGAAGCTGTGCATTGACCCAGGGCAATTTCATCAGCTTCCTTTGTTGTAGGCCATGTATGTTCAAAAGCTGGCTGGTTTCAGAGACAGAATGAAGCTTTTCACTTTGAATTTCAGATGAGGGGTGTGCCCTTCTTCCGGGCAGTCTCTTTTTTGCCCGGGGGGGAATTTCACCTTTTTGGAGGGGTGGCAGAGGGCCTTTCTTTCTATTTGGTAGAACAAACTTACTACCTGCAGGTGACATCTTTCCACCAGGAGTCATCTCTATGCATTCATTGAAGGAGAATTTTTCTTCCAACTCCCTTCTATTGTGCCCATCAGGAATCCTATGTTTCCCTGCCTGAGATCTGTTCCTCCTAAGGCTGTGTGGCCTTTTGTTCCTAGCCTGAGACCTGCTTCTTTTGGCATATAGCCTTCTTGTCTGAATTTGGAACTCTTTCCTTTTCAGGGGCAACCCTATGGCACTATAGCCAGCCACTTGTGCTTCAGGAGCCTGTTTGCAGTCAGCAAAATACTTTTTCTGTTGAAAATGTAGTTTGACTCCCTTCTCTGGTTCAGACTCTAATGGAGTCCCACCTTTCTGGCCTTCCATTTCCAATCTTTCATCCTTTGGATTTTTCCTTTCAGGATTCATAGCATGGTTCTTGCTTCCTTCAGACTGTGGCTCCTGTTTCTCAATGAGGGGTTCACTTATAACAGCCTGAGGGTTGCATTCAGAAATGTGTTTCCTCGTAATGTCATTGCCCGTGGGCTCTGAATTTTTATGACTAGAAAATTCCTGATCTGACTTCTGTAATCCACAATGCACTTTCCCTGGCCTGGCCTGACCATTTTCTGACCTTGGTTTCCCATATTTTGTTCTATGATGTCCCTCATCTTGATTGGCAGGTCCATCCCCTGACCTAATAATACCAACATTTGGCAAAATGTTCCCTTCCTCTGGTTTGTGTTGCCTCTTGCTTATCCTGGGATGCCCTTCATCCATCCCAGAATTTATCTCACCTGGTTTTGGAAAAACAAAATATCCTGCCTCTGGCTTGGAGTGTTCCTCCTCCAACCAAGATGGTCCTTTATTTGTCTTGCTATGGCCTTCTTTTGAATCACATTTCCCCTCCCCTGGCATGGGAAATCCATGAACCTTCCCTCCTGGCCTAGGACAACTCTTGTCTGACTTGAGATGCTCTTGACCAGCTTTTGGATGTTCTGCTGCATTATCCTGATTTTTTGTCTTGTGCCTTCCTTCAGCCCAATCACGGCACTCTTCAGCCCAGTCCCGCCATTTATTTGCCCATTGCCGCCATTCATCTGCCCACCGCCGTTTCTCACATGTCCAGAAACGCCACCTGTCTGGACGACAGCGTCCCTTGTCCATCTTGCAATCCCAATCCAAACTTCCTGCTGATCCATTAAATTCTCTGTCATAAACTGGAATACCTGCAAGAAGCAGAATACATTAATCAACCAGAGCACTCTTTTACCAGTAGAATCACAGAAATAGGTATATGGTCAAGACTCATCCTTATTCCATGGCTCAGAATTTGCGGATAGGAGAGTTTTTAAATGTCCTAGTCACTGAATGAGGAAAAGAATGAATGTCTAGCTTACCTGACCTAGACTTTCTATTAGAAATGTCAGGCAAAAGTAATTTGAAAATCATAAAATGATCCACCATGGTTTTATTTTGTTTATAATTTGTTTTTCCGTCATGGAGGAACTCAAAGTGACATGCATGGGTTTTTATCCTCCATACTGACCTGTGAAGTAGCAAGAATGTATATTCATGGTCAGGGTCCCTTAGTTTGCAATTATATACTCATGCCTTAGAGTAATTTCCACTTAGTAGAACTTACTTTCCATCATCATAACTGACTTCTGTGTAGGCATAATGGATTGTGTTTTTAACAGCTGGGATAAATAATATGCAGCAAAAGACCCTAAGTATCCTAAGATCAAAATTTAGCATACTTTATAAGAATCTAAACAGCTAGCAGCTGTTCAGCCAATGGTTGTCAATGGTTGTCAAAATGCCCAGTAATCTACCCAGTATCAATTCCTGAATTAAACCACACTTACAGGAGTGGGAGTAATGCTACTCATACTAAGAGAATTCCCCCCAAAAAGCAATGTCAAATCATTTATATTATAGCTTCTATAACTTCTAGAATCTATTCCATATAGATGCAATATAAATGTACATAGCTGAAATTCAATAAGAGAACTCTTATTGGCTAGGTTTGTATATTACATAGCTTATTTAATAAATCACAATTTGCTAGATTTGCACAATTTACTAAGCCGTAATTTATGGTATGTAAGCCACACTATCTGGATTTGCACAATGCTCCAAACCAAAATTAAACAGCCAGACCATTAAAAGAGCTGTAGGACAGATAATAAGGATTAATGCCTTTAATTGAAAGTAGTATACTAATATTTAAACAATTACTTTTGCTTGTATTGCAGAAGGCAATTTATTTCATAATAAACAGTGCCTTTGATTAACCTTCTTTCTTGACTTCTGCTGTTGCAGACATACTGACAGGCTGGAAATATGGCACAACCCTGCAGCAGAACATATGCAGATTATATAAATCAGTGCAAATGTTGTTGTTTTTTTTCAATTCTATTGCTTTTTCCCTAGATTTGATTCTTTGGGAAGAATTCTGTTCACTTATTTTATTTATTGGCTGTTTGGGTCTCTTCATACCTACAATTCAGAAAAAAGAAAGGTAAGTCCCTCCAACTCATCTTGATTTTTCTAGGAAGAGAATACTGCCATTTGTTTATTATCTGCCTACCTACCTGTCTGTCCCCTCTGAGTTAGAATTGTCTTGGGGTCACAATTTTCATTAAGGCACACGGATTGCTTTCTGAAAATCAGGTCCCTACAAGAAGCCTTATGAACACTAAAAACACTATTCAACAGTGCCCAGGAGGTGTAATCTGATCCATTCAAATTTACCATTAACATGGATAGATACCGTCTTCCCATCTTCTTCAACTTCCAAGTACTTGCTTTCATTCTCAAGATGTCTGAAAGGAGAGGTGTTAGTCAGTTACTTCATTATTATTCTTATATATTTAGTTCCAGGAAAGGCACTTGGGATTTCTTTCTTAGGCTTCAAACAAGCTTTACAAGTCTTGTTTATTATGCATTTTGACAGTCTGAAAGAGTTCTTTACTGTTCTACTTAAGTAGTTGGCAGAATCTAACACAGCGGTTCTTAAACTGACCTATTTATTCCTTTTCCTGATCTTGAATAATGTCATTACCCTCACAAGAAAACCAGACTCTGTTGGCAGTGGCAGTCCCAAACTGGATCTTTCCCTCGCAAACAAGCAATTACAAATTGATCCATTACTCTCAGTTTAAGAACCACATTACTATCCATTACTCTCAGTTTAAGATGGACAGGGTCAGACCTGGTTAGTACTTTGATGGGAGACCAGTAGAGAATATAAGGGCTATAGGATGTATCCAAAATGTCATCAGAAGTTTATCTCAACTCAAAGGAGACTTTACTTAAGAATAAATTAAGCCTTCAGGCTGTGAGCTCCTTATCTACATAGCAATATAAAGATATCATTGCCTTTCATTTTTCATAAAATTCATCTATATACAAGAATTCTCTTCAGGACTGGTTTGGACATGAACACTTCATAAAGTTCTTTTAAGTTCATATTCATTTGGGAAGATGAAACTGATACTCCCAAAATTCCCCAGGTGAATTCTAATGTTAAAACTTCTCTATGTGTGGGTGGCTTTCCTATGAAGGTGGTTCTGCTTGTTTTTTAAAAAAGAAATGATAAACTGTGCATGAGAGAGACTGAGAAATAATCTTACCAGCTCATGTTTTGCTGTCTCACACATACTCAATAATATTCCCTCTCAATTTTTAAAAATCAAATTACTCAGACTTTCACAAGTGTAATTTTTTTTTTGCTCCCATTCTACAATGAATAGGGAGAAAGCTAGATCTACAGTAAATTAATATCACCATAAAAATGACAAAAGAAAAAAAAAGTATGCATCTATATATCACCATCTTTCACATTTCACAATACCTATGTAAAAGACAAAATCTGTTATTTGACCATTATCAAGTCTCATATTGGGGAAAAATTAAATCTGGGCACAAATTCTTTACCAACTTTGTGGTAGAGCAATGGGGTAGACATTTTTTCGAACATCTCCAGGAGAAAGAATTTCTCTAAGAAATAGTGGCATCACAACTGAAAAATGTCCAGTTTGGGGGCCTCCATGAAGTCTTCCCTTGGGCTTTACTTGAAGTATGGGAAACCAATGGAGCTATTGATAACTGAAAAGTTAATTGTAAAATAAAAGGCAAGACATTCACTCACATACCCTTCTCTTGCCAAGGTTACTAGTTAAAACCATAGAAATCTAGGGATGAGAATTTCTCCAAAATTCTGTACTCCTTTGAAAGATTTTTTTTTTAAAGTAAATTCTCTTTTTATAAAAGTGAATGAGAACTGGTAGAAAGAAATGCAGGAGATCATGTCTGCCAATCCGAACTTTTGTGTTAGACTGTTAGTGTGAAGTTCTTCAAATACAAATAAGCTTTCTGGGTATGCTTTTTCATCCCAAACATTAACATTTCTGTACAGAGGTATCTACTGTAAGTAACAAGTGAAGGAGTCATAGGAAGACATTCACTTTCTGTTCTTACCTTTTGGTTGTGATCTTTTTGCCATTGATGAAGGCGGTCATGATAGAAAAGTGGTGGAATCTTTTAGGAGCACTGAAGAATGACACAGAAAAATCTGAAACACAGAGTATATATATATGTATGATGAATCACTTCCAAATGCATCTGCATGTATCCCTACCTTTCGCTTTAAACAACTGCTTCAGGTATACAAGGGACTCTAACACTAGACCATCACCAAGGTCCAAATACCTTCACAAATGTTCTATCCCACAGACTTCTGTATTAGCGTTGTCTATTTTCTTCCACCATTAAATGAATAAGTACAGGAACTATTTTCCCTTTCTGCTTTCTTTCTGGTGGCTCACTAAAGTAATACGATTCCCTCCATTTTTATTTCTATTGCCATAGTATCCCATCATACAGACCTTGAAGACCTGCTGGGGCCAGGAGATCAGTGGAGCCTGGTATGCGTGTTTTATTGTTATGCAATTAAACAGTTATGGGAGGAGCCTCGATTATTTTAATTTGGTGTTGCCTGACAGCTTTGACATGGTGTTTTTATTGAAGTGTTTTATAAGCCACCCAGTGTTATTTAGTTAAGATGATATCAATTTGCTAAGTAAGGAATTAAATTCCCAAAGGCCAAATTCACCAAACTATTGAACCAGCAATAAACTTTGTCTACACATGATGAAAAAATATTTTATTTTCCTTTTTGGATAAATGCAGCCTTCATCATTTATCTCTGCTTTATTTCTTGCTAGACTAAATTTTCAGTTCAATCAAAATCCTTCAAATTTGGCAGTTAAAAAGATCTGGCTAATTTATTGCAGAAAGTTAACTATGGATAGTCCGGATTAACTGTGGAGAAAGGGTTTAGACTGGGTTTCCAAATGATATTACCTGAAGAGGAACGCTGTCTGGTGAAGAATATTTTGATGCCATCCTGATCAAACACTGATAAATGTTTCTCATCCTCAGGTTTTTCTAAGGAGAGAAAATAAGAAAATGAGACCATTACATACACATGCAGTGAGGGCCGAGTAAAGAAAATGACTTTAACAAGTAATAATATCATCCAAACTGTTGCATTTTATTTTTCAATGATCTATGGTGGTATTAAGGAAAGCAATCAGTAGAGATCTTTGCTCAGAGATTGATTCCTTCCATTTGCAAAGAATAGCTTGTCATTGATCATCATGTTTACAAAGCAGTAGGAAAAAACCTGCAGCCTATTCTTGCTTGGATTAAAAATAAAACAGAACAACACTTGACTATACCATTCTCTGTTAGATATTCTTAACCTCTGAGCCAAAATATTGAAGAAAACACTCTTGGAATTGTATCTTAACTATTTGTTTATTTGCTTTGAATGAAAAGTATCAATCCATCTGATAATTTCAAATACTGAGCCATAATTTGGATGGCCCCTCCTCTAAAACAGGCCCAGCTCTAAGCTGATATATGTGATGGAAGACATGAGTGGGGAGGATTCTGGAATGGAACTTCAAGGCTGCCGAGAGGGGGAGAAGAGGTTCCAGGGAAAGCACCTCCTCAGCCCCCAGCCGGAGTGTGGGAAAGTCAAGAGAAG